AAAAGTTTTTATTTTTTATAAGTTTTTTTTATATTTTTACATTTTCCTAAATTTTTATATTTCATGTTTTAGATATTCTTCAGTTTTAAGTTTTTACATTTTAATTTGATAATTAAAATACTATGAAAGTCTATATATTACAAATATATTATTTAATATTTATATTATTTGTTATGTTAGCTTTATATAATATATATAGTTTAATACTAATTAATTTTAGTTTGTGTGTGTGTGTCTGTGTGTTTATGCTAGTTTTTAATATTTTTACATTTTCCTCAATTTTAATATTTTAAATATTCTTACATTTTAAGTTCTCACATCCTTCTTTTCTTTTAGAATTCATTTTATATTTTATTGTATTTCACTTTTTTTTATTCTGTGAAGCTGCATTTTATGCATAAAAGGTCCTACACACATTATATAACAAGATCATACAGCAATCAATTACAGATTGGTCAATAACTCCATTTAGCTGTAAAATATCAACTATAGTTTGAAGTTTAATACTTATTTTGAAGTGACATGTATAATCACTGGTCAAATAAGGTTTTTCTATGTTGTTTTTCTTTACTGTTTTCCACGATTGAACAGTGTTATTTTTTAAAAAGCAGATCTCAACCATTTCACATGCATGTGTGAGCAACTACAGCTGCCTGGTTTGCAGAGCGTTGTGCTTGCATGTATCACTACAGCAGTCTGTTATGTGTTGATTCAAACATCCTGTGTGCCGGAGTGAGTCAACATCTCATTCACAAATAAATGAACAGATGCTTGCATACACACGCCGAGGAATGAGCCAAACACATCCTGAAATACCCTCCGCTGATGCCTCAAAGTCTCTCCATTCAAAATGACAACACTTTCTTATAATCAGCCTGTCATACACTCCCCAGGTGATCCGAGCTTACCTGCAGAAACCATATGGAGAAAGTCCTGAGGATTGAGGGAGAGAGAGAGATCTTCCAGTCTAATTCCTCCAACGTGGACCAACGGCCCATAAGTGTCCAGATGCCCCTCCATCAGCTCTCAAACTGCCATCAATACCTGTGTTAGAGAGCGAATAACAGTTAAATGGAGCTCAAACCCATTCTGATATGATCTGTAATCCGGCAAGGATGACAGGACAACAAGATGATTTAACACAGCCAGATGAATGAAGCGGAACAACTGGGCCATCTTTATTCTCTCTAAACCACCTTATACTTTCTCTACACGACTTCTGAAAACATCTCATTACCGTGAGCCATGCCGCATTCTGTTTTCCTTATCATGCAGACGTTTTATTATATTTTTCCGCTGATGCCTCAAAGTCTCTCCATTCAACATGACAAGACTTTCTTATAATCAGCCTGTCATACACTCCCCAGGTGATCCGAGCTTACCTGCAGAAACCATATGGAGAAACAGTCCTGAGGATTGAGGGAGAGAGAGAGATCTTCCAGTCTAATTCCTCCAACGTGGACCAACGGCCCATAAGTGTCCAGATGCCCTGCCATCAGCTCTCAAACTGCCATCGATACCTGTGTTAGAGAGCGAATAACAGTTAAATGGAGCTCAAACCCATTCTGATATGATCTGTAATCCGGCAAGGATGACAGGACAACAAGATGATTTAACACAGCCAGATGAATGAAGCGGAACAACTGGGCCATCTTTATTCTCTCTAAACCACCTTATACTTTCTCTACACGACTTCTGAAAACATCTCATTACCGTGAGCCATGCCGCATTCTGTTTTCCTTATCATGCAGACGTTTTATTATATTTTTGCCTGGCATTAGTCATTAGTTTAGCTTTTTATTTTACTATATTTTAAGTTAGCTTTTTTCTGTTAAATTTAAGAATATTTTTAAGACTGAAATTACATATATTATGAAATACTATATGTATTAAAATATATTATTTAATATTAATACTTAATAATATGTGTAATTTTAGCATTAATATTTTATAAAATTAAATAGAAAAGCTAAATTATTAAATGTTAATATATTAGTATGCCAGGGTTAGTTGTTAATAATCTATATGTTTGCTTGATATTTAATATTATTAATCAAATAGTCTGTTATCATCACTTATACTGAAAAATAAAATTGTGTTATAGTTCTTTCACTTTTACATCTGTAAAACGCAAAGCAAACTGTGAATAACAACAAATTAAAAAACTAATTTAGCTGACACTAATATGCATATAAAACAAATAAAGACTAGATTTAATGATGGATTTGTTTCTTATAAACAACCAGCTTTTCACTGCACAAGACATTAATTGATGGACTTGAGTGGTGTGGATTACTTGTGGATTATTGGGATGTGTTTATCAGCTGTTTGGACTCATTCTGACGGCACCCATTCACTGCAGAGGATCCATTGGTGAGCAAGTGATGCAATGCTACATTTCTCCAAATCTGTTTTGATGAAGAAACAAACTCATCTACATCTTGGATGGCCTGAGGGCAAATTTTCATTTTAGGGTGAACTATTCCTTTAATTTAGTCAATAAGATATAAACAGATTCAACAGCTCTACTCCACTTTACAATAGCAGTTCCAGCGGCAGTGATAATTACAGCTCACATGTCATGCAAGACCTTAAAAAACCTCAGCGTAATACACTGTACCACCAAAAATATGTGCTGTATTTACTTGTGGCTGTGTGTAGGCTGGTTTGGGTGTGATGTGTCTGCCAAAAACAGCTTTTGGCAGATTCTGATGAACATGAGGAACCGGCAAGAGTGCAGGAATTATACATAGAACAAGGAAATGATACAGATAAAATACTGCCCAGAGACATACAGACAGAACGGAAGTAGATTTAGGAGGGGTCTCTTATCTAGCACACCTGATTCATCTCATCAGCTCATTAGCAGACACATCAATTTTCAGAAAAGTGTGTGTTAGATAAGTAAGACGCCAAAATTGTGCTGCAGGAGTGTTTAGAATAGCACACTACTAAACTACTAGTACAGTTTATGCAACATATAGTACATGAATTGACCTACTATATTTGCTGCTATATAAAGTGTGCTGGTTACCGCAATGCGGTCGACTTGACCTTTTGTCAAAAACCCTCCTGTTTTTAATCTCCATTTTGATGAATGAACCAGAAGTAATATCCAGATATGATTTTTATACATAATTATACATACAAAATAACACAACTGAGTCATATGACAACAATTTATCATATACTGTTTGCATTGGTTGCATGCATGTGTACGGCATACTGTTTCATATACTATTTTATAAATAGTAGGCAGCATAGAATATGTACTGCACAGTATCCACTTAGCAGTATAACATACATAGCATGGAATGTTAAAAATCACATTAGAAATAGAAATAGAAAGTTGGGCACATTGCATTGTGTTTTATAGTATTCTACTTAGTGTACTACACATTTTGTCAAATTTAGTAGGTCATCTGGGTATTCCATGCATAGAAAATTCACAATCTGTGGATAATATACATACTATATACTTCTGAGATAATAAGTGTAGTATGGTAGTATGCTATTCTCAACACAACCCAATACAACATACAGTATACCTAGAATATTCTACCTTGAACTGCAGAATGAATGTTGGTACAGCTGTGTAAGGTGAACAGGGATTTCAAGCCTGCTATTCTGTATTCATACAGCGGATTGAAGAATTATAATCCCATACAGCACACAAGTTATAGTTTGAAGTGATACACTTATTAATGGGTCAGAAAATTTCAACACATACCATGTACTGTATGCACAGATAATGCACCTCCTTTTCATGTGACGGGTAAAAAATGCCACAAAGGAATTCTGGAGAGAAAAATGTAATGATTTGATCAGGTATTTGTATGTTAAGGACAACAACAATGCTGATAAGCTATCATGTCCAGACCGTAAAGACTTTAATTACACAAGAACCCTAATGTTAAACATTTGACCTTTACACATATAACCTGAAGTAGGAATGATTGAAAGTGGCGCAAAGTGATATGTACCTTGTTTTTTCTTTGTTTTCTTCTCCTTGGGCTCTTCACCGACAACGTTTTGTCCTTATTAAACATCTACACTTTTTATAAGTGGAAAAACGGGGCCGTTGGGAATGACGTCACAACGTTTGAACCGTCGTAATTCCCGCGTAAAACGGTTTTAAAATCATTTTCACATAATACGTATTGCATCTATTTCACTCGTTGTTTAGCCGTTAAAACGTAATTTTTAATAATTAATTTAAAAAATATAATAATATAAAAAAAAATTCAGATTAAGAGTCTGGGACAATTAAAACAGTAAGGTCATCTGATATATATAGCAAAAATAATCGATGAAGACATGGTCAAAGTTTTCAAAACAGTTGTTTTAATGTGAACTTTATAGAATAAAAATATGAAATATTTTTTAAATAAATAATGAATAGCTGTGGGAACACGTGCATTGTTGTACTTTTTCGTGCAAAGGTTTTTGATATTTTCTACCTAAATAATTACATTTATTTTTAAGTGTGACTTAAAAGTCAAAATAGTTTGGGGATTGAGAAACAGGCTATGATGCACCCGCTGTGAAGCAGTAAGTGCTGGAAAAATCTTCCAGGAGTGCACACAAAGCACAGAGGCATCTTTCTGGGAAGCAGGATTGATGTGAACTCACCCGGATTCACCGCCCACACGCGCGCGCAGGAGACTGACCGGATCTGAGCGGTTCCTCCGCACTGCTAAAGTTACTGAAACTTCACCAAACACTTTCAAACCCGTTCAACCGGGCGTCACGGTAAGCAACACTTCTCCATTAAACCGCACGACACGCGATGCTCTCACTGCGGTTCTTCTCCTCCTCGCGCTTGCCTTCTTTGTCGTTTTCGCAGCGAGTTAAAGAGATCAAGTCTGCTGGGGTTGCGAAATCGGGTGTCTTTGTGGTGGATTTTCAGCGCGTTAAATGCATAGCTTTTTCTCAGTAATGAACAATGTTTTCTGTGTAGATCTTGTGTTTGAGGTTAGATGCTCGAGCAGTGCAAGTTACAGTTTCACTCGGTCGTCACTTTTCTCTTTATATGTTTTCCAGTTAGCTCTTTTGCATGTGTTATGCATACTGGAGTGTGCAAAAAGTTGCTGTTATCCATCAGCATAGAGTCCAAAAATCTGTAAACAATGCTTTAAATACATGTTGTGACGTCACGGTGGTATGAGCGTACTGCATGCTGCGCAGTATACATTGGTTTAAAAACAGTATGCAGTGTGCTTAATTGTTGTCACGTGACCTGAGAAAAGTGGATGTTTAAACGGGGTCATATGATGATGTTGCTAAAAAGAACATTATTTTGTGTGTTTGGTGTAATGAAATGTGTTTATG